GTTTTAAAGGGGGCGGAGCATGTCAGATGCTACAGAGCATTTGATTGGTCAGAAGATTTGATGAGAAACTGAAGCATGAGGTGACGTGAATAAAACCATTTAGGATCTGTGTACCATTGGACCGTTTTGGAGGAAGTGACAAACTGCAAGGTTTATATGTTTATGTCAGTTTTTTATCTTCTAAACTCGAATGTTGTCACTGATTTGAGGCTCACTAGCTTATAGATATCCTGGAAACTATCAATACTATAATTTATTGAGACCTTTAAGCTTTAACCCTTTATATGGAACTCATTGAAATACTGAACACTATTAAAAAACACTGGATTGCTACTGTGTGATATAAGAAAATGTCTTAGATAATTTTCAAATAGTTTCCAGAACTGTTGTACACTATAGATGCTGAATAATGTTAGCCGAATAGATGCGCCACTCAATATGAGCCCGAAAAAAATGTTGCCCTGCATCTTACTGACTAGAAGTGTCCAGCGCGCAGGTTTTACTCCTTCCATCTGTAGCGGCTGAGTGTTGTAAAGCAGATTTCACAGCAGACACGGACAAGCGATGCGCTATGAAACCCATTCATTTCAATGGCTTCAAAAGTGCCAAGCACACTGTATTTGATGCTATAGATCAGGGGTCACCAAGCTTGTTCCTGGAGGGCCGGTGTCCTGCAGATTTTAGCTCCAACCCTAATCAAACACACCTGGACAAGCTAATCAAGGTCTCACTAGGTATACTTGAAACATCCAGGCAGGTGTGTTGAGGCAAGTTGGAGCTAAATCCTGCAGGGACACCGGCCCTCCAGGACCGAGATTGATGACCCCTGCTATAGATGGTAAAAAATATTATTGAATAGATGTGTCACTCCAAATATAACCGAGTAACATTTTAGCCCTTTTGCTAGAAAAAAAAAAAAAACTAAATTTAGTTCTTTTTTTTTGTTCGAAAATGCAGTGAGTAGTGAGCTTTAGGCCAAATTTAACTGCTCTAAGAACCCCCTGTCCTTTCCTCTAGCTGAACATCTTTGCATTTGGCAAGATAGTAATGTTATTATTTATTATTGGGCATGCGCCAATTAAAAAAAAATATATATATATATATTTTTTTTTTAATTAGATATTAGAAAAAAAAAAAAAAAAGTTGTGCTGCACCTCACTGACCAGAAGTGTTCAGCATTTAGGTTTTACTCCTTCCAGGTGTAGTGACTGAGTCTTGTTAAGCAGATTTCACAGCAGACACAGAAAGCACCGCGCGATGAAACCCATCTACTTAATGGCTTCAAACGTGCTGACCAAACTGTTGTACACTATAGATGCTGAATAATGTCAACTAAATTGATGCATCACTTCATATATAACTAAGTAGTAGTAATAATAATAATAATAATCTCAGCCCTATTGGTAGGGAAAAAAACTAAATCCTGTCATCTTTTTTGTGTGAAAATGCACTGAATAGTGCATATTGCACTGCTCTGAGAACTTGGTGTTCCTTCCTCTAGCTGAACATCTTTGCATTTAGCTAGATAGTAATGTTATTATTTATTATTGGGCATGCACCAAATTTTCAGACACTGATAAAGAAAAAAATGGAGAAAAATATGGAAAAAAAGTTGTGCTGCACCTCACTGACCAGAAGTGTTCAGCGCGCAGGTTTTACTCCTTCAAGGTGTAGTGACTGAGTGTTCTGAAGCAGATTTCACAGCAGACACAGAAAGCACCGCGCTGTGAAACCCATTCATTTCAATGGCTTTAAACGTGCTGACCAAACTGTTGTACACTATAGATGCTGAATAATGTCAACTAAATTGATGCATCACTTCAAATATAACTAAGTAGTAGTAATAATAATAATAATAATAATAATCTCAGCCCTATTGGTAGAAAGAAAAATAAATAAATCCTGTCATCTTTTTTTTGTATGAAAATGCACTGAATAGTGCCATATTGCACTGCTCTGAGAACTCTGTGTCTCTTCCTGTAGCTGAACATCAT